TATTTATATATGTTTGTTTGTATGTTTGCGCCCGAAGTTTGCCGCGATGGAAGAGAAGTTGTTGGCGGATCCCAAAGACCAAGAGTTTGAGTTGTTATACGTTTCTAAGCGTAAGGCAATTGTTCTTGACCATACTTGCTCCTACAATTGTTTTACTTTGAGTTAGAGTAGTTAGACCATTAGTTGCATGCAGAGTCATAATCTTGAATCCCATGTTACGGTTTACTAAAACTTGTTTATATCATCCTTGAAACTCGGTTTGGATGGGTAGAAGTCGATGCTTAGCTTGCAGTTTTGGTATCGGAAGGTTATAATTTAATCCTGATTAAAGATATATGCAACGGTTGCTGGTAATCTTTTTAGCAACATGGTGACTAGGAATCTAGCAGGATGGTTGGTTTTGGTGGTCGTGTATTGCTAGATTTTGGGTAAATGTTTTCTGGTGGATGTTGGAATTTGTGGAATGGATTTTGTTGGTTCCTGCCTGGATTCTAAGGATCGGTTCATGGACAAGTAACCTGGCTTAACAGCGCAACCTCAAGGGCTATATGGCTCTAGCCCTAGCTAAGTAATTAGTTCCTCCAAGTTATGCTACATCGGGTCGGTTTGTGTGGCACAAGAGGGGGCTTCGGCAGTGGTGTTGGTACCCACTATTAGTAGTTAGAAACCTTAGTGGAGGAGTAAAACAGACTTAGAGGGCCTTTGTAAAGGCCTTGTAGTGTGACCCCACTAAGCACCTGGGTAGTGTGAAGCGTGATGGGGAAACATGACTCATGGTGAAAGTGTGCAACCTCTGCAGAGTGTAAAACTAATATATTAGCCGTGGTCACGGTCAAGAGCGGCCTGGACTTCTTCTTGATTAGATGGCTCTGGTTTAGTTGGGAGGCTTGGATGGAATCTAAGTGTTGGTTAGCTTGGATGGAATCCAAGTGTGGTGCTCAGATGGGATCTGAGTGTTGGTTTCAGTGGTTCTCTAAGGAGAAGGAAGATCTCACCTAGTTAAATAGGTGCTTAAGGTTTAAGGTGATAGGTGTGTTGCTTAAGTGCTGGTGTCAACCATTGTAAGCCTATCCATGTTATAAGCCTCATGACATATTTTCCCACACTTGCGGAGTACATTTCAATGTACTCACCCTTCTCTTTGTCCCCTTTGCTACCCCACCATAGCTGTTCGGACTAGAAGATGGAGTTTTTAGAAGATGGTGTTTCCTGAAGACGGTGTTGATGCTAGGCTGGTGTACCCCCGATCAGCTGCCTAAAGGGATGAAGACCCTGCTCTAGTAGAACTCTAATGTAATTTTATGTTTAGACCCTTTGGTCATTTTTGTAATATGTAATTGCTTTTGTAATATGTATCACTTTTGTCGTCGCATGTATAAAAAAACAGATCCTGGCATACATGTGATGTGCATTCGGTTTTGTTTTATAAAACCGGGTGTGACAACCTGCCGCCGTCGATCTCCGCCGTGGTCGCGTCCCCGCCGACGAGAACCACCGCCCAAGCTTCGCGATGAGGTGAGGGAACCGCCGGTACGTTTCTTTCTTTCCCTTTTGCTCTCCATCCCTCGGTCCTACTCACCAGAGCATCGCCGGCGAGAACCGAGCCACTCGGTCAAGCTAAGCGCCACCTCTGGCTATCCACCAGCGCAACCGATCCTCTAGCCAAGTTCGCCAGGCCTTACTCTACACCATAGTGCAAATCCTGTGAACACTAGTGGCAAGAATCACTGCTCCAGCGAGGACTGAGCCTTGTCGTCCATGGTTCCACCGTCCACCAGCATTGTGCCAGTGACCATAATCCTAGATCCATCCAGAGCCATCCATCTTCAGGTCCACTACCACGATTAGATCCCAGCCTCCCATACCCCTTCGGTCCACCGTGGACTCCGCCCACCGGTTCCACATCAGCCGGTCCACCACCGTGGGCCAATCCAAGAGCGCCGTGTGGCCTCCACGTCGGCAAAGACTGGGTCAACCCAGCCAGTCATCACACTTTTGCAAAAGAGGCCTTATGTTTTCAAATAATTAACCCATAGTCCCAAGCCTATAGAAAGTAATGGGAGATAGGCCCTCGCGTTTTCTGTTTTAGCTCCTGTCTCTTATCAAAATAGAACCCGCCGTCCTACCCAGTCGGTTTTGCGAGTAAACCCTCGGTGCCCACGTTTAATCACGTTTAGGTCCTTGGTTTCATTTGTTAGGCCCTAGATTTAGTGTTTCTTCGTAGATAGGTCCCTGGAAGCCAGTTTTAGCCATAGTTTGCACGTTTTAGCTCGGTTTTAGCCCGTTCTTGTTGCGTCAGCTTTATAACAACGTAAGCTACGCGCTAGAAGTAATGTTTACCATGTTCTATGCTTATGAATTTCAACATAAATGTTAATTTGATTAATGTTTATTCAATGTTTTTTAAATAAAACAATTTAGGTTTATAATTTGATGTTTCTTAAATCAAATGGTTAACTTGATTAATATCAACATTGATACCTTTTCAATTATGACCTGCTTAGATCGATCTCGAGACATGAAATGGTTCGATTAGATGCTCTCGGATGTCAATTTCTATTTGCAAGTTAAAGTTGAATTGGCCTAAATAATATCGAAATATTTATAAATAAAATATGGTTGGCTATAACTTGACTTTTGAAATTAAATTATGTTTTGATTATTTTGGTCTTAATAACTTTCACATGGTGTTGCTCAATTAAATAAATCAAGTACGTAGGTCTTTTCTTTTCTTTTATAGTATAAAACTCCCGGTAGTTGATTCTTTTTAACGATAGTTTTGTTATCGGCGTTTCTTGCATTCTCTCGACCGTAGTAACGAGCTCTCTTTAGTACGTTGTTTTCTCTCATATGGTGTACTGTTCATAGTTGCTCTATTTGTTTGCTTGTACGTTGGTATGCTTGGATGCTACGACCTACGAATAGAAGAAGAGTTGTCCATAGCGCTGGACAGCGGAAGACCAGAAGATAATCGAAGGTTCTTTAAGAGAGTTGCATTAAATGGAAAGCATGTGTAACAGGCAAGTATAGCATGGGACCTTCCTTGTTACCTACACACCTTATAATCATTATAATTCATGTTGCATGTGTCTAAAATTGTCACCCTAAGGATTTACCTAGCACTTTGTTATCTTGATACCTTGTCACCATGGGAACAATTGCATATGGGTAGTTTGCTAGTGCTCAAATTAACTATACATGTTCTGAATGAGGACTAATGGATCTATGCAACCAAGGTTAAAACTTGCTTTCTAGCAACTTGAATATAGGGCGAGGGAGCACCTGGTTTTTATACGTGATGCTCTTGGCCCTCCCTAAGGACTTATCTGTGAGCAAAATCTAGCTCTTTTACTGTACAACCGTGAGGGCTACATGACTCTGGCTTTAGTTCAGTAGGAGGACCTTTTCTAGCCTGTTAGAGGTTACCTTCATGGCGCAAAATGGGCTTGACGAGATGGGTATAGGACTACCCCTGTTCCTATGTGTATAGCCGCGAAGGAATTGTGCCATTCGAAAGGGCGTTTTCTACATCTGCTTGCCGAGGAAACCTAGCGGCCCTAACTTGTTAGACGAACCTTTGAAAGACTTCATAGTGTACCCTGCCTGTTCACTTTGGAAGTATTTTGGGAGTAATTAACCCAGGCATATGGGCAACATGACTCACGGGCAAAGATGTACAACCTATGTAGAGTGTAAAACTGTTATAACAGCCGTGCTCACGGTCATGAGAGGCCTGGAAAACTGGCCGAATACTTGTTCACGTTATGATGATGATGGAGATAATATGATGTTAATATGCTTTCATTAAATGATCATGTGGTGTATATGGGGCTTAAGCATAACCTATTGCTAATTAATGATAAAACCATGACTCACTGAATATGCTAACCGCAGTAATCCGTGTCAGCTTTTTTAGCTTCATAACCCCATGTTATCTTGTTAAATACGAGATGTACTTATGCTTGTTTATTTTTATTATTTAGATAAAAATCCCAGATGGGTAATAGAAGGTGGATCTAGTGAGTTTTCTAAGGAGTGCTAGGCGTATGTTACCCCCAGTCAGCCGTCTCTGTGAAAAATGGAGCCTGAAGAGATGATTAGTAATTGTTCTACTATACTCTGATAGATGTAAGTGTTAAATATAAATATGTTTTTCACCATATCTCATTGTTTGTGATATTTTTCTTTCTGCTGTTGTATGTGTGGACTTCCTAGGTACACATATGGCGAGCCTGGTTTTGTTCTTAAAATCGGGTGTTACATTTCTGGCCTTTTCAACGTGAGCCTGTTTTTGGGCCAGCCCAAACTAAACATGATAACCCTTGGTACATGATTAATATGATGCTAAAACTTTATATTATTTTTTTTAGTATCTTAACGACTGTAAATGCAAAACTCACCTAGAAACTTGTGGACCTCATTGAGGGATACAAGTTTTATATACAAAGTATCTTTATCTGACCCCATACAAAATAAATATAAAAATCATCGAAACCTTGTGGACCTCATTGAGCGATAAGCCTTGTTACGAGAGTAATATGATGCTGAAACTTATATCTAAAAAGTTGCAGGTATCATCGAAACCTACAACTTTTATATAAAAATTATATTTATTCGAGGTTATATGAAAAGATATGACTTTTTAAGGTGCAACCTTTCTGCTCACATGTGGGTCCTATCAGCAGATTTATGCCACGTAGAACAGCGGGTCGGGTAAACGCTCATTTAAACCCAGATGAAACCCCTTACATCTCTAAGGAGAAAAAATACATTTTAAAACTTGAGGCCTAGATGACACTCAAAACAACTTGAGGACTATCGCTAAATTTCACTCTTTCAACTTTCCCCACACACACGAGTTTACAAAGGACAATAATGACACAGGAAATACATAGAGCTACAGGAATCTCATCTTTTTCAGGAGGCCTGCCTACTGAAATAGGTGACCCAATTAAAAATAATCTAATTAGACATGTGAAACGAGCACCCTTGCTCAAAACTCAAAAGATCAAAACGCAGGCAAGCTTGGTCAGTAGCTCCTTGAGAACAGCAGGGCAGCTAGCGTTGAGCACCTCAAAGCCATCCGTGTCAGTGAAGGAGTCAAGGTTGGCACTAGAAGTGAGGAAATGAAAGCACGCCTCCTTGAGCCCAGGGCAATGGTGTCGATCAGCTAAAACCAACATCGTCGCCACGGAGTCTGCACGTATGTGCTTGCACAGTTTGTCCTGGCAAACCAGCTTCATCCTCTCGAGGCCGTACCTGTCAGCAGCGGCAAGAAGATGCTGATACTGCACCATTGCTTCGTCGTCGTCACCGTGCTGCTGCCTGCTCGGCGTGCCATCGGTCTCCGGTGGCAACGAGTCGGTGTAGATGAAGGCCAGCAGGGAGCTGAACACCTGTGCTTCCATGTCGTCGATTGGTATGACGCCGCCGTCGCCTGTGCTCTTGCTGTCCTTCATCTCGCCAAAGAGCTGCGCTCTGAAGACCGGCGACCGCGCCGCGAGCACGCACCGGTGCGCAGAGAACGTCTCGCCGCCCGCGACCTGGAAGGTGACGTCGGCGCCGTCCTTGCGTGCCAGCAGGTCGCCGAGGTGCTGGTGGAGGTCGGACGGGGGCACCGTGACGAATGCGTCGGCCTTGGCCGTGAACGGCTTGATGGCGAGGTCGCACCGGACGGTGAAGCAGCCGTCCTTGTTAAGGTACTCCTGCCGCTCCACATCGTCCCTGGTGATGAAGCCGGGACACTCCCACTCCCAGTTCTGCTGGATCCTCCAGTTCTGGAACGAGCTGGCTCGGGTCCTGGAAGGCACCGGCCAGCCTTCTCGGTCGAGTAGGCTAAACTTGAACCATGCGTTAATAGGCTCATCAAGGACTTCGCAGTCAGGGTTAGGGTGACCACTGAGGGTGAAGGACACTGTACCAGAAGTGGAATCAGTGGAGTATGTGCATAGCCAGTTATGGCCTTCTATGCTGGTAGACCACGAAGAGTCAGAGTTGCCAGGACAATGAGCCCTCCAGCCGAGCTGTCTCAGCTGGGTACCCGCAATCTCGAACTGGTGGTGCTCACTCGCCATAGTGGCCTCGACGGCGGAGGCTCAGAGTGCTCGGCGGTGGTGATGCCTGAGGCGCCTGGCTCGATGTTATATATTAACACGGATGGACGACTGTCGAAGAGGTGGGCTTTGGGATGCTGAGATCTGAGCACCAGAGGTTGCATTGTGTGGTGGATGCAGCTGGTTGGAAGAGGGAAACTGGTATGCGCAATGGTGATAACCATGTGAAAATAAAGGAAGGCCTAAAGTGCTTTCATTTGATCCCCACGTTGACGCTGCAATGGTGCTTTATTAGTCAGTAGTAATTCGGTAAATAAAGTTCCTTTATTTAGAATAGGAAAAGGAGACTTGCTTGCACATCTTTATGTGACCACTTATTTTCTTTCTTTCAAAGATTCCTCATTCCTCCCGCTTAATTTTCTTCCAGTAGCACAGGACGGTAAAAAGTTTTGCAGCTAATTTTATTAGATGATAGAAAAAGAGATATTAAAAAAAAGAAACATTGACAGTTGGGCTACAACTAAAGCTACTGCTGAACACGAAGACGGGAAAGAATACCACTCTACTTGGCCCTAGTGACAATGCACACACCACCGGACTACTTAAAAAAAGGACTCAAAACACAACTAACACCCCCAACTTCTTAAGAGGATACGTGGGCAGGCTATGTGACTTGGGCGACGTGGTCTTCTGGTACGCAGGGCCTCTGAAGGCTCCTGGTTATCTGCGAGTCAGCTCGCAAAACACCTCGACTAAGTTGCTTGGTCATCATCGTCATCAATCTTCGCTTCATATCCTCCATTCATGTGTTGTTAGTGTAGGTGTGGCTGGCGTCGGCATGGTCCATAGGCGGGTATAACGTGGCTGGAACATATGCCATGCCCGCCTGCGTTGTTCACCTCATCGGTGTTGAATGGCGCGTGTGGTTGTAGTAGTTGAAGAGCAAGCATAAAGGTGTAGCTGAACAGTCCTTGACATCCTTGGTAGGGACGAAGCTAGAGAAAATTGGTGGGGGTGCACCACATAGTCATAACTACACTAACCCATATGATGTTCAAACAAAATAGCATAACTAATGCGCAACTACCACATATTAACATCAAAATTGGACTTCTAGCAATAGCGATGAGATTTTGTGCGAAACATAAGGTAGAGGTAGTAACATTCACCATTTAATAAAATGAAGACATCATTGATCACTTTAGTGTAGTCACTGATAGAATGACAAAATCATGAACTAAAGATGCCACATATAGCAAAATATGTGATCCAGGATCAAGATCCCACTTGCCTAAAGGAAATAGAACAAATAGGTCAATTATTTAGCAAAGAAATTATAGAATCATCCATTGAAAGTAGATGCATATTGCATTACCTATGAGGGATCATATCCATGCCCTTTTCCTTCCATGGTCATGAAACCACGAACCACAACCTCATTGCTAACTTTCGTCATTTCTTCTTTCTCTAACTTGTTTTGACAATTTCTGTTGACTCCGAAAGAATTTGGATGTCAAACTGAAGCCATTGGTTAGCTTATGAAATTACCTTTCCATGCATATGCTGATCATCGAAAACGGAGTCCGTATACGTTCTAGGCATCGATTTTACCTAGGACTGCTCCTGAATTCAAGATGGACTCTAACTTGAGTAGGACTGGGCCTCCGCCATTACTTTGATGAGTTGGACGCACATGCTGGTCCTCTTCATCTCCATGGCTTGTATCCGAAGAAGTGATGTTCTCGTTAGATCTCGTCTCATTAAAGTGGCTATCAGCTCTTGAACTAGCCAATAAATAACATCATTAAAGTAATCCACTTCACAGTTATGCTTGTTTGTAATTCCTGATTTTTTCCTAGGCTTTCGGGGATCAATATATATGTATCTTTCATTTTCACTCCATTACTTTTCATGCATGTCACAAAACTGATTCACTTCATCTAATAATTTCTCCCACCCACCTAATCTAAGATCATCCAAATGGAGTCTAGTTGATTTTACACATCCAATGGCATTTACAATATCTTGATTCTTGCATTGCAACGATAAGGACAAGGTATTTGTGGCAGTTAATGTAGTCAACATGAGATGCAAATAAAATGCAAAGTCAAAAGATTTGAAGTATACTAGAAGATTTGATGCTTGATATCAATTTTTCCAATATCTGTCATCCTTTTCAACAACTTTTAGCACTTCAACTATCGTAGGAAACATGTTGACTAAACTTTTGAGAGTTTTACAATGAGAACTCCAATGAGTATCTTTGGATCTTTAAAGGCATTGCTCTTGATTTAACCCTGTCCCGGTCTGAAGTTGCCCACAACCTAATGCCTTTTTCACTTGTTCATGATTGATATCTCTAATCATATCACTTCTCTTAGTTGATCGACCCACCATATTTAATAAGATAGAAATCATGTTTAAGAAATTGCTTATGCCCTTATGTTTTCTCACGATTGCCACAATGACTAACTGAAGTTGGTGAACAAAGCAATGCACATAAAGGAACAAATCAATGCCACAATGACCCACCAGAGGTTGCATTGTTTGTATAGTGGATGCAGCCGGTTGGAAGAGTGAAACTGGTACGCGCAATGGTGATAACCATGTGAAAATAAAGGAAGGCTTAAAGTACTTTCATCTGATCCCCACGCTGACGCGGCAATGGTGCTTTATTAGTCAGTAGTAAATCAGTAAATAAAGTTCCTTTATTTAGAAAAGGAAAAGGAGATGTTCACATGTTTTTTTAGAAAAGGAAAAGGAAAAGTTACTTTTTTTCTTTCTTTCAAAGATTCCTCCTGCCTCTTAATTTTTCCCCAGTAGCATGCCATATGCATCTAACATGGAAGTTCTAGGCAACCCCAGCAAAAACTGTGTGTTAGTTGTCAACAATAACAAGTAACGGCACATGCTCTTTGTCCTTCCCACCAAAAATTTCAGACACCGCCATGGCCTCGCCAAGAACATGTACAGTTTTTTTTTTCCTGTAATATGGTAATGCCCTGAATTCCATTACATGAAAATAACATAATTGTAGAATTCATTCACACTAATATAACAAACAGAGGGTGGTAAGACATTGTGGAAACTGAGAAGCAAATTTGATTGATTTTCTAAGCATCCGTAAACAATTTTTCATGTTTATGATGTTTCTGACAAAAAAGTAAAACCGCCATTCGTAATGTAGAACCATAGCTCCGAGAGATCATATCAAAGGTCCCACTGAAAATAAATTAAATTAAATTGAGAAGCTAACCAAACAAAAATTAGGTCAATTGGATCTTGAGATAGTAATAACGAATCTTAGCTAGAGGATGACAAAATTAATTAGTCCTAATTTTGGGGTTTAAAAAAGTTACAAAAGCTTCATAAGTGAAACTTTCACAAACCGAACTTATTTATTCCAATCATGATTTTGATGGATCCAATCGACTGTTAGACAATTAGGCAATTTAATGGTTAATTTAATCCAGAAATGTAACATCAGTAGGTTCGTGACGGCATATATGTGCATGTGTATATTTCTAATGAACGCTACAGCATGCAGACATGACATACAGATCGATACAGTAAAAGCGCAAATTAGAGTAATCAGAGAGATTAGACTGTACCCAGCGGAGGGTTCCATGCCGAGGGCATCGGAGGCTCCATTCGCATTAGTCGACATAGTGCGTTGCTCAAAGTCGTGGACCGCAGTCGATGCAGGAAGATGTTCGCAGTGCAGTCCCACGAACGGTCACTAGGAAGAAGACGCCTTGATGTTCCGCAGGCAATCACCGGGAAGAAGACGGTATCCGAGAGCGATCACCACCAGGAAGAAGACGTACGTGGACGAGCAGTCACGGATCGCTCCCCAAAAACCTAATCGCCGGACACCCCGTGAAAGGTTCTCATGCGGACGAGGGTTCCGGAGGCACCTGCTCTCCTGCTACTCTGTGCGCGCAGAGGTACGGGAAGGGGAAGCCAGAGGGCAGCTAAGATGTGGTTTCTTTCGGGAGCGGTTGCGGAATCTTAGATCTGGACTGACGGAGGACTACGGATATATGGCTGCGACGGGAAGAGAGAAAGGCAGCGGAGAATCCCAGGAGACGGAGAAGCGAAAAGGATGGTAACTGACGCAATCAGTTCGCCTCCACCATCAAGAAGAGTAACTCCCGTGATTATGTGCATTTAAAGGGCAAAAGACTGGCCACGCCCGCCCGCTCGCTCGCCGCCCGCCTGCCTGCATGGCACACCACGGCCTCGGCCCGGCCCGCGCCTATGCCCACGCCCACGCCCACGGCCCGCCCTGGCCCAGGCGGCAGCGGCGCGCACGCGTGTGGCACGTCTATGTCCTTTTCTCAGCTTCTCAATTAAGATGAATAATTTCCAACCATATAAGCTGAGTCAACGTTCAGTCAAAATCCCGTATGGTATTAAACCATACAACACTTAATGTTACGTACCATAGAGTTTTATTTGATTTATTAAATATTATATGGGCCAAGCCCATAATATATCCAACAATCCCCACCAAACTATAGGGTTTGTAACAAAGTAGTCTCAGAACTATATTTATTTTATATACCAGTGTTTCAATGGAGACTGTTAAGTTGAACATCCATCTAGAACAATAGTTTTACTCTGTCACAACTGGACAATGGACTAAGCCTTGAATTGATAGTTTTGTGTTAGTTGAATGTCAATAAAGTCCTTAGCTGATACTTGGCTGTAAAAGGCATCCCCTCTATTTGAAGCATATAAGTCATACTCCAGTTCCTTTCATGAGTATTTAGAGATCACCCAAATCTCATAGACTATGACCAGCAGTCTGACTCATATAGGTGTGCTCCTCAGAACATCTTTGCTCTAGCAAGCCACTTGGAACACATTAAGATAAAAACAAACCTGTCTTACAGATAGGAAAGATGTGCATCAGAAATGAGTCTTACTAAGGATCTTTCCTCACAATTTACTACTAGTTTGTTTCACCGTCCTACTTCATGGGATCTCCAATCACATAGAACAGGTTACCACTATAG